CCATTCTATGATTCTATGAACTGAACCAGAAGGTGCACTCGGAATGAATGTCCGCATTGGTGGGTCATTAGTCCCGGGAAGCAGACTAAGCTGGCACAAACTGGGAGATGCCTGTACCATGGGCACTGGAGCCCCAGCACCTGCTGGTTTTCCCTCCAGCTCCACTCCTATTGCATTATTCCTTCGTGTGTATGTAACCTTACTGGGTCAAGTTCATTTCTTCTGGTTGTTTAGTTTAAGTGTTAAACGGTCTGTCCACATTTTAACAGCTTTCTTGTGAGATGTAACATCTGCCACTCAGACTACATCCATTCTGTTTATCTCTGTGTCTTGGCCCTGGAGGCTCTCAGTTTGAGGTGGTGGCAGCAGTGGTTGTTACTTCAAGTTATTTCAAGTTTGATTAGTTGCTGCTGTTGTTTTGCTCTGCAGTGTCTGTGAGGCAGAAGTGGTTATGTTTCACTAAAAGTAGGCTTTGTTCAATAATAGGGAACTTAAAAAGAACTTCGTTTTACCAAGCCTGAAGATGTCAATTCAGGTGATTTAACTATCTTTGATCAATTAGGGACAAATTTCTACACAATGTCTGAATTACTCTGTCGTTCATAGCATAGGCAGTCTAGCAACACTGCCTCCCAGACATGAAAATTTTAGAGGTGCTATAATCTTTAGCATTTGGAGAAGCCATTCCAGTCCTACTTCGTGATACTGTCACAGGGCCAGTTTCTACCAATTCATGAAATTTCAGTTTTATGCAAAATGTATTGTTTTCTTATGTATGGTTGATTTTTTGTTGTTGTTGTTGCTTGTAGTGTCCAATTATTCTGATTGTTGGCCCCTCAATGACATTCTGTTATTTGGGCTCAAGTGTTTTGTTGCATTAGTGTGTGAAGTGTATATTGATGTGTGTAAATACAACATAAAATTTGCTTAGTATAACAATGAGCTTGAAATAATTACATGGAAACTAGAATATAAAGTGAACTCCAGTACACTTACAGTTATCATACAGAATATATTATTCTCCTATATTCTTCTGGTTAATAAGTGTATCTGTTTTTTGTTTGGCTTTGGTTTTTAAACCACGTGTAGTGAGCAAAGATGTTAGGCTGTCAAAAGCTTTCAAAATCCTACAGTAATTACACATACGAAATAGTATGTTGGCCTCTGCAACTATGCCTTGTAGTAATTCCTCTATGATCTCATATATGATTCTGATCCTTCTGTGTTTAATTTAATTTTACTGAAATATTGGCTGTACTTCTTTGGGGTTTTGGACCTAAACCAAATGTTCTCAAGACGTTGGCTGCATACCAGTGCCCTCTGTCACTTCCACTGGCTTTTTTAGTTATTACATATCAAGATACCTAGCTGTATACCAATTTAGCTTATAAAGAATTTAATTACTTGCCACATGATAATCCTCTGATTAAAAAAGCATGTAAGTAGTAAAGGTAGTTGTGTGAGCTACGAGCAGCTGTTCTTAAATCCTGAGGCCATCTCCATGATTCCCAACATAATGACAGTTCAAAATCAGGTATCCTAACGGTCTTTTCTGTGTTTCTTGTACCTAAATGCTTGTTTGATGTTCACGGACAGAAGCAGATGGCAGTGCTGATTTAGCTGTGAACTTCATGGTTCTATGTTCAGGCAGCAGACAATGTTGTTTGCATTGTCTGTGTCATACAGGTATAGTTTGTGCTTTTACTAAAACCACCAGACTTGCAAAATTGTGTATGGATCTAGTGTTGCTGAAACCCTTTATTTGGAAAAGCGGTGTGCTACTGCTGCATGTTGAAATGTTTGCATGGAAATGGAAGCACAGATAGAAACGGTACATAGGCCTGGTGCTGTAGTGATGGTACTACTTGGTTTCATGAGCACACAGTATACATGCTCATAATGCTTTGCCTGCAGGGGAATGTTGTTTGAGAACTACAGGTGCCTTAGAAAACTTCCTGAATAGCCAGACATGTTTGTAGTAATTAGAACATTAGGGTAGAATTTTCATAAATGTGGTTTTAAGAAGCAGTTCTGAATATCCTTAGAGTAAACCTTCCTTAGTGAGTGTACTCTTCCTCTGGAAATAATATTTTCAGATGTGAAGTCAGGCTCTTTGACTGTATCTATTACTGTTCAGTTACTCCTGACGTCAGTATTGATTTGGTGATCTATCTAGAATATATATATATATATAGATGCTATGTATAAATCTTATTTATGTATAAAATACATATGAAGTGTGTAAACAGCAGTGGTGAACGGTTCACACTGATTTGCAGGCTCTGGCATTTTCAGTGTATTTGTGTGAAAGGAGCAGGGGCAAATTCCAAAGCACTTCCCCTGATCTAGGTTTTTCCAAGTACAAAGAAATTAACTGTTCCTCTCATTCCAGTTTAACTTCAATTACACAGATGTTTGGAAACTTAGTTATCTTTGTAGCTGCTGATGGGAACTGCTGGGACACGTTGTGAGCAGTTGGTCCTAATATCAGAGAACCTTTCCAGATATTTTTCGTCGACTGGTGTGTGTCTTGTATTTCGTTGGACGAAATACATGAGAAACTTTAGGTACAAAGCTGGGACACTGAGCATCCTTTTAGGGCAAGAACTGGTTCAAATTTGGCTTTTTAGAATAGAGCCTTGCTTTGCTTAAAAGTAAATTGATCAGTTGCATTGGATGGAAAACTGTCTGTGTCAGGGCAAATTTCTGTCACCCTATACGCTTGGAATTTTGGAGCAGAATTTTATATTTGAAATAAGTTGATTCATCGTAAGAGTTAAGCTGCTTACAGTAAAATTTTTTAAGGGGATGGGGTTCTGAAAAGAGTACTTTTGGTTATTAGACTTAAAATCCCTAAAATTAGTATGATAGGCCAAGTTGTTCCTTCTGGAATTAGAGCCTGTCATCCACTCCAGGTAGAAAAACATGTTACATGACTGCAGTAGCTTTTTCTAAGCTGTGTGACCGCCCAGTTGTCCTCCATCTGTGGGGTGCCCCATGGGGAGGTCTGTCTGGGACTGGAGCAGCTCTCCTGCAAGGAAGGGCTGAGGGAGCTGGGACCCCAGCCAGCAGAAGAGCACCGGGGATCTCATCTGTGTGTATGAGTACCTGATGGGAGGATGCAAAGAGGATGTAGCCAGGCTTTTTGCCGTGGTGCTCGGTGACAGGACAGGAGGTGAGGGGCACAGACAAACACAGGAGGTTCCCTTGGAACATCAGGAAGCACTTTTTCCCTGTGAGGGTGACAGAGCACTGGCACAGGTTGCCCAAAGAGGGGGTGGAGTGCCCATCCTTGGAGATGTTAACAGCCTTCTGGACACGGTCCCAGGCATCCAACTCTCGGGGTGCGGGGTTGGTCCAGATGACATCGAGGACCCTGCCAGAGCCCACCACTCTGCAATTGTGTTTGTGCGCCTGGGGAATGTGCCGGGCAGGAGACGGGGATGGGGGCACTGCCAGCTCAGGGGTAGGAGCGGGAAGCTGTTGAGGTTTGTGCCCCTGCTGAGAACAGCAGAGTCCAGGGCTGAAAATCAGGGAGAGGAGGTGTAGCTCTCAGCACTCACTCCCTTGTTCCCCTTCCCTGTTGCGTAGTGAGAGCTTTTCCAGTGCTGCTGCAGCCACTTTCACCTTGTTTCTCCCTCCCTTTCCCAACTGTGTTTGGTTCCCTAGAGTGAGAACAGTCCCTTGTTGTCTAGTGGGTAATAAGTATTTTTCTCTCAGTTTCTTACTAGAAGCAAAGCTTTTTTGGCATTGGAAATGAGTGTGAGTTGCCTGAAAAATACCAATTACACATAATGTTAAATTTGGGTTTTTTACTGTTTTTTGCATGTGTGTTGAGGATGAATTGCAAAATCAAAATGGCAACTGATTAGGCAATAATACGAGTAAAGTGTGATTTAAAAACTTGTTCATCTCTATTACTCAGTATTGAAATAGCTTTTGTCCTGTTTAAAATAGTTGTGTTCCGGTTGGTCCAAATTGAACCACCCCAGTATCCAAAGTCATCCTGTTACATGTGATTTCTGTTCTTGTGGAGTGGTACAGTCCAGCATGTGCTTATGAAATAGAAGGAAAAATAATAATTTTAGCACAGCTGTAACAAATCCCCACCCATTATTGTGATTTGCATCGTGTGACTAGTCAGCATTTAAGTCTCATTTTAGCTTCTCGTTGACATCGTTTGGTATGCAAATACTTTGCTTAAGCTCTGATTATTGTTTTGGAATAGAGATGAAAGTAGGTGAGAGGGTAATTTGGTATTGCTTCAATTGACAGAGGGATTACTAGTAATCCCTCACGCTGCTTTCTGCTTGTAGATCCTTAGATTGTAAAACCTTGGTTGAAGGGACCTCCAGAGGTTTGGCTGTTTGACAGTGCTCACTCACCCAGCTGCCAGGAACCTCGTGCCCAGTGGTGTGTCAGGATAAACTTAAGTACAGCTGAGCACAGCCCATCTTTTTGCTTAACTCTTGCATAAACATCACTCTTGGCAAAGCTTTTTTCCACAGCTTCCTACTGACCAACTGCTTACAGGGGTAGCAGAGCTGTGCGGTAGCTTAGTTTGATCAGAAAAGCTGAGTAGGATGCCTTCAGTTTAACCATAATGAGTGAAGGGAAAAGAACTTTATTTACCTTTTTAGGGGTTTTGTTTGTTTGTTTAATGAATGCTTGACTGTAATAAAAAGTCTTATGAAGTTTCAGTATTTTTTTTTCTCCTCTTTTTTTCTAGGGTCCGGGTATATATCATCCCTATGATAGTGGGCACATAGCAATGACTTACACAGGTTTGTCATGTCTGCTTATTCTTGGAGATGATTTAAGTAGAGTAAATAAAGAGGCCATACTGGCAGGACTGAGAGCTCTCCAGCTGGAGGATGGAAGGTAAAAGATACTTCATATTCTACAACTCTGAAAGGTTAATAGAAAACCCAGATGTGGGATGAAATGTAAGAAACATGGAAATAGATATATAATCTTTTCTTTCTGTAAGCAAATACTTTGTTGGGTAACAGAACACATACCAGCTTACAGGACCAAACAGCATGTTGTAGAGATTTGCTTTCATATTGGAGAATGATGGTATTTACTTACAGCTGGCAATACTTACTGCTGGAAAGGTAATGGATTGGTTTATGCCTTGAGGATAGTAGTTTTTCTACCCTGTCCTCCAGGTAAGTAAGGGTTTTCTGTGTTTGTATTCTCTGTTTTTGCAGGGCCCTGGCACACTACTGTGATGGTGTTTGCTCTGCTTTGTGGGAGGGTGGGCTTTATTGAGTTTTGAGAGATTCAAGATGTCAGTATATGGGATGACTTACTCTATATATTACTTGTGAGAGGAATATAATAGAACTGAATTTCATTGTGAGATCTGTCCTTTTTGCATTCATTTTTCAGTAGATGGTATATACCCTTGGATCTGCTTCGGGGGGGACATCACTGTGTGTGGTTTTTTTTAGGCAGGCTGAAGCTGGTAGCTAATGAAAACAACTGCTAGTGCAAACGATGCGCCTGTGTTGTGAAATTTTACTGAATGTCATTTTTGAAAGAGTACTTCAAGAAATGCAGAATTACAGAAATGTTGTTTCTGAAGGCATTATCTTTCGCTTCACAGTGAAATGGCTGCCACTCTTTTTGAGTTAAAGGTTTTGTTTTGGTCAAATGGCAGCATATCACCTAAATATCTTCTATCATTAAAACTTTTTTTTTCCATAACACAGCTATAAAAATGCAGTGTTGCATGTGTTTTTAGAAAGGAAACACACAACTCCAGAATGTTGACTGTGAGTTATATGACGTACAATTTTCTGTTATTTATAACAGACTGACTTTAACGGGCCAAGTCCTGATGTGTGTACACAGATACATGCACATGTGTTTGTTCATCCGCTGCGGTTTCATCAGACTTTTGGAGGTGCCGATTCCATTGCTCCAGGCGTTCCTATTATATGTGTTACATGCACACGTTAAGAAGTGTCGTGGTTTCCCAGCATGTCTTGTGCCATATCCAGAAGGGTAATGGAGTTCACCTCTGTCTGAGCTGCAGGAAACGGGGCCTTGCACCATGGGGGGTTAGGAGAGATGAAAGTATCTCCCAGTAAATGCAGGAGGCTTTTCTATGTCAGAAGAGGGTGCAGTACATGCCTGAATTGCAGTGTCAAAGAGGGAGTGTGATAGTCATGCTTAGAAGACTGTCTTTAAAGTCAGAAGTAGCCTTTTTTTATTTTGGGAGAAGAGATTTGTCAGAGGGACTCATCATAATGTGCTGTTGTGCTGGCTTCTTGCAAATGGTTAAGTGATCAAAATGCACTAGCTAGCTCTTTGAACCCAAATGGAGGCTTGTCAGGCAGCAAATCACAGCATCCATCTTCATTTTAAGGGTCTCTGAGAGGGCACAGGTTTGTCCCTGGATAACCCAGATACAGTCACTTCAAAATGTTTGTGGAGTTTGGAAAGACTGTAGCCGGGAGAAATAAAAAACTGCATATAAGGTCATTTTCACCACTTTTATTAGGAATGGTAGTAATAACAATTACATGTGTACATGCATGGGAAACTGATCCTGAAGTTGCAGTCAGGAAGTAAAGTCTTGTGAGCTCTTAAGATTTCTAGGAAGGCAAAGAATTCTGGCCGTAACAGTAAGTGTGAAAATGTTAACTCATACATGAGTGTATACTGTGATGGGTGGAGGACTGTAAGCATTAACGTCTTTGAATAAATAAAGAACAATGTCAATACATTGCTGGAAATAAAGTCACCCGGGCCCCTAAATGTTAATAGTTCTACTCATCTTGCTTGGCTTAGTCAGAATCACATCTTCTATGAAGAAAATCTTGCATAGCTTTGGGTTATGTGTATGTGAACACTATAAATAGAAGTAACTAATTTTTGAAGTAGAAATGACGCAATTCCTTGAACTGCTTTTCGTATTTTCTGATATAACAGGCTATACAGTGTGTAATGACAGAAGCATTTCTTTCAGTTTCTGTGCAGTGCTGGAAGGCAGTGAGAATGATATGAGGTTTGTGTACTGTGCTTCCTGCATCTCCTACATGCTCAATAACTGGTCAGGCATGGATATGAAAAAAGCAATAGACTACATTAGAAGTAGTATGGTGAGTATTCTCAAAGGTTTACTTCTTACTACATTTTTAACGTTACTAGCTTAATTCCTTAACTGTGACTAAAAATCTCTCAGTCCAAATGGAAATACTATGGTAATTTCTTCATTTTCTGTTCCAGCTTTAGCAAGGTGAAAATTACAAAGCACATTGGTTTTTTGCGTTTGTATTTTCATTGTAATGAGTGTAGTGGCAAGATAATTTTATTTAGTGTGTTTGTTCATTGCAAATTAAATCTGATCTTTTTTCTTTAAATTTCAAATGGAAAGCAAGTTTTTGAAAACTGGGGCTTAACCTTCCTATAACTTAAAAAAGTGCATAAATCACCGCATCAATAAAATTCTCACATTGCAATGACCCATGGTCCTGCTTTTAAAATGATGTACAGAATCAAAAGAAAAACTAATTATTGACATCAGTCCAGGCATAGTAAGTGTTTCCAGTGATGCACTCCATTATTTATTAGATATTTGCATTGAAGTGTACATTAGTGTACGCCCATTTTTTCTGTGTCTCTGTAAGCTGTCTTCATATTTGGTTGCAACAAAGGAGTTTTCAGGTTTTTCTCATGATGTTTTCATAAGTTCAATGGATTTTCATTTTCCAAGATAAAAATAGGGTTTTTTTCAAAGAAACCGAGCTTGAAAACTACAGTTTCTCAAATGTAAGGGAACATACATAGTAAACTCTTTTCTGGTCCACAAGAAGAGCCAAGTCTACGATGACATACAATTTCTGTTGTAAACCAATATGTTTTAGTAGTTGCTGCCAGCAGTGAGATTGTAAAATTTAAGTGAGAAACAAGTTAAAAAAAAGACTTGATCTCCTGCTTCAGACCCAGTTGGGTTTTATTTTTTGTTTATGCTTTAAGGAGGTAGGTAGATGCATAAGCATTTCTTGCTGTACATCAGAAGAAGCTTTCTGGCATGCTACCATAGCCTGGTTAGGAACATAATTTTCTTCCTATGTTCTTTAAAAAAACACTCAATGTAATTGATATATTGTGCATTCATGACATTAGCCTGCATACTGGAGAGCGTGAACAAAACCTTATACTCTCACCCCTACAGTGCTTTTAATGCCTTCTAATATGTTTCTACTCCGCTTACTCCCTCCAAGAGCCCTCAGCAGGACAGGGGAGTGAACAGGAGGAGCAAAAGCAAGAAAACTCATTGATGGAGGGAAAGACAGATAGCTAAGTGAAGAAAAGAGTTTAAAAAAACAAGTGATGCAGAGACAACCTGTCACTCACCGCCTCCCACAGACAGACCAATACCTAGCCAGTGTCCCAGCATCAGCCACCCTGGAAGACACCTCCTTCCTGCCCACCCCTTCTTCTGCTACCCCAGTAGCAGTGGGTAGCTTATTGCTGAGCATGAGATTACAACAGATTTAACATCACTCTGGCCAATTGGGTTCCGCTGTCCTGGCTGTGTCCCCTCCCAGCTTCTTCCCCAGACTGCTTGCTGGGTGAGTGGTGAAGTGGAAGAAAGGAGAAGGCCCTGGTGCTGTGCTTGGTGCTGTTGGTCCATCTGACAGCTGTCCCCGAGAGCCCATGTCTCTCCCACTTCTGGCAGGTCAGCCTGTGAGCACCTGCAATTCATGGTCCCACTCCAGTTGCTGGTACTCAGACCACCTGTCTCACCCACCACCTATTTGGGCCTAAAGTTTGCTAGCGTTGACATACACAGGCTGAGAACAGCTAGTGCACATCCACAGAAGACAGTTAAAAATAGGATTTAATAAGTCTTGGACCTACTGACGTGATTGAGGACAGGGCTCAGTCATACAAGCATATGGACAAGCTGTCTGTTCACACTCTACTAGCACTTTTTATCCCATTTTTCCCTCTTTTTCCTGGCTTGTTCTTCCCCCGTTTGCTTTGATCTTTCCCTTTCGCACCATTGGTCCATACCCTAGCCATCCCGTAAGTTGTCCACACCCTGCATTCCCCAGAGGACACCCCATACCAAGTTTTATACAACCCCAGAATTTTCTTCCTCTGCATCCCACGAGAGCCCCTGTACTGCAGTATTCAGCAGCCCACTTTGGTTAACGTGAGTTTCCAGGGTGAGAATGTCCCTGCTGAAGCCTCTCGGTGGGTTTCAGCCTGGGACAGTGGTTTATCCTTTCTCCTTTCACAGTCTGAGGGAGCTGCCGACTCAGGGTACTTGCTTTTCACTGATTAGGTCAGGATGGTTCTTCCTCTTCTGATCCTTGCTGGACCTTGGTGTTTACTGAGATTAGCCTTTAATCAGTTAGCTTAGCAGAGATACAACAGGAGAATCAAATATTAGAATAGATAAGAAAACCAAAGAGCAAAATTCTCATTGTGGTGTTCTATACATCACGTCAACTGTCAGTTAATGTTCTGTACGTTCTGTAGTGTGCAGTTTTGGCCCCGAAGGATGTGCTGAAACTAGGAAGGGTGCAAAGAAAATTGAGCAGAATTGTCAGGGGTCTGAACCAAATTGTGTAAAAGCAGCATTTAATATACCAGGAATCTTCATTCTGGAAATGGGATGATGGAGTGTGACAGAGGTATGTAGAGTAGTAAGCAGCACTGGAAGTGAGCAGGGAGCAATTATTTCTTCCCAAGGCAAGAACTAGGGAACATCATGTGAGGCCGTTGATCAGGCAAGTGCAGATTGTTTGAAAGTTTGGAGCTTTCAGATGACAGGGGAGATTTACTGTCTACAGTGATCTTGAACCAAATCTGTAGTTTGCTTCTAGAGCCTTGGCATGAATCCTTGTACCTGCAAATTCCAGTTGTTATGTCCCGACTGGGAAAATTCATACCGCTTTATTAAAAAAAAAAATAAAAAAAAAATCAAAGCCTGAACGGATCAGGACCTCTTGGAAGGACTTGAGGTAATACATCTCAGACTGTAGGGGAGTAGCCCGTTGTGATGATAATTTCACAGAGGTGGTTGTCCTTCCTCTCACTCATCTCTTTCCATGACCCTCCTTGAGATGTATTCCCATTTTATTACCTATCTCAGGTGATCAGATGTGTTCCTTAAATGTATGCAATGAATGTGAAACGCGGTATTCAGGAATGTTAGCTTGATTCTTGAATTCTCCCGTTGAGATTTTGTAGATGGTGCTAAAAATAACCTACACATATTACAATTCGAAATAAACTATTAGAGATTATTTCATTTGTTACTACTTGTGTAACTAACCACACAGTGAATATTGCTATAAACTTTCTTGCAAATGCTTGTTCCTGTTTTGTTCCAATGTTACCTTGTTCTGGTACTTCCATTAATGATGACACAGAAGAAACCGTATTGCTCAGTAGTAAACTGTTCCTCGTTTGCACACAGATGAAGCAAGGGTGGTTCACAAGCTGGTTTTTTCAGTTACTCAGATTGGCATACATGTGAAGTGCAGCTAATCCGGATAGAGAGTAACATGACTGGCTGAACACAGTAATCTCTGTAATAAGCTTGCGGGTTTTTTAGCTTATTCTTTGGAATTTATTCACTTAGTGATACAGTATAAGAATTGTGACACATAATACAGCTGAAGGGGTGGGGGGAGTTGGAGTTTGTGTAGTTAGGCATGTCAGGAACGGCAGGTGATCGTAGCATGAAACAATGGTGTTGCTTTTTTTAGCAAACTGTTAAAAAGAACTGAATCTTCAGACAGAATGGATAGCCCTCTTGTTATCACCTGACTAAAAAGTGTTCATACAACACTGATCGCCACAATAGTTCTGTATTGGTTTTACTGTCAGTAAAATAGTCTGGTTCCAATCGCACCATTTTTATCAGCACAGGATGGTGTTTGGCATTCACGTTCGAAAGTCAAATGCATCACTACTCGAACAACAAGAGACACTAAGGTGCTGCAGTTTTTAAAGACTTCCACACACCCTAAAATACTGCCTTTTGCAAGATTGCTTGGTTTGCCACAAATTTGGTTTTGAAGCAGAGGTACTGCAAGAAGCTTGAAGTAGAGCATCTACTTCTTCTAGTAGAGTCCTCTTGAAATGCAGGTGTAGGAGTCTGTTGATATAATGAAGCTGGTTGGGAAACTTAGACTGTGAAGCCAAGATTGTACCCAACTGGATTTACGCATTTCCTGATGGCAGTATTTAATTATGCAGTTTTCATGTTGCAGTAACCTAGAGCCTCTTTTGCATATAATTTCCTGGGTCTTTTCAAAAGGACAAAGAAACAAAAATGTTTCCCCTGTTCCTTAATGCACATGAATCCCCAGAGAGCAGCTGCTGTCTGTAAATAAATAGGCACCAGTCAGCCAAAGGTCAGCTATTGTCTATTAAAATTTCAAGCTAATTGTACAGCCCAGTGCAGTACACTGTCTGGGATGCACACTTAACAGCTTTTCCCCAGAGCTGATTACTTTGTCATACATAAAGCTAACCACCTCCTCTTACAATTCCTGTTTGGAGAGTTAATTAGCTCTGCCAGCATAGCTTTGCTAATCAGCTTGTCTTCCCTTGGCAATTAATGGGTCTGAGGAGTGCGGTAGCACATTGGCATTGTGTTCGCAAAAGGCAGTGGGAAGAGTTCACTCCCTGTGTTTTCATTTTCAGATGATCATAGGGATTACTTAAAACTGGTTCAGACTTGAGAAGGTCAAGCTGCAGCTTCAAGTGTTACGTATCAGGTGTTGGGTCTTTTTGGTTGCTTCAGCTTGCAGCAGCAACTCAAAAACTGTATTCTTCAGTTTTAATGTAGCTTGTATGACCACTTTTGGGTTTTTTTTCCTCTTCTCAATGTCAGCTTTAAAAACAGATGTACAAAATAAATCCTTAGGTCATTCCTAAAGACATGCTCTTGTAGCCATTCTTTGGTTAGGGCTGTGGGAGTCATTAGTGGTCTGTCAAGGCAACCTGTACCTACTGGCTGCTGTTAAATGAGAAATTCATAGGCAGCAGCTGGAGAGAGGAAAGTTAAAATTGCTTTCCAAGTCTCCTATCAGGTGTTGAGCCAGTCATTAATCGAGCAGTTTATTACAGAAGATGCAGGACCTGTGTAATTTAACTTCAAAAGTTAAACTTGTTTTTTCTTCCTACTTAACAGTTAGGTGTTTGTCAAGTGATAATTGATTAAGTATTCTATGAACTCTTGTAAAATTACCATAATCCATTTTATGAGTAACTTACCGTGATATCTTGTTTTCTTACGCAAAATGATTTAATGAACTTCTGGCGAAGACAGGTTGTTAATCCTACATAAACAATATCATCTGCTCCCAGATTGCTCGTAGCAGACCTGTGCTATAATCCTCTTGGTGCTTGTTCATCATTCTCCAGTTCCTCTTTCTTCTTTTCACTTAACAGAATGATTGTTCAGCGCTGTTAAGGTATTTTTAAACAGTAATGTTTTATAGGGCAGGTTAAGTTTAGTGCAGTAGTGTGCTTTATTATGTTTTCGTTTCTGGTTTCCTCCCTACCCCCATCTTCAGGTTTTTTAAAGCCTGATGTTCTTGCCCCTTACTAAAGCATTTCTTGTACTTGAGTACTGTGCACACAGTAGTACCTTGCCTTTTGCCTTTTTGTATGTTAACCAGCTTTTGTGTTAGAGGAAGATTTAATTTACCCATTTAATTTTGTTGGGAATCAGATACCCATTTTCTCTTCTCATAAAGACAAAAAATAAGGGGCTTCTTTTTTTCTTTAATGCTTATCTGCGTCACGTGCTTTCCCTTCTTGGCAAAGACATGTTTACCTGTTTTCCGTCTTGATATATGTGACAACTAAAACGAGCTCCATGAAAGTCGTAAAAGCTGCCTGCATTGAAGAAAAGGCTGATTTCTTAACTGTTTTACACCCAGAGTGTTTTGAGGCGTAGGTTCAGAATTTAATCAGGTGAAATGGTCATTATGGTCTGATCATAATTTTGCTAATAGGGAAATTGCAATATCTGTGGCGGCGATGTAATATTGCAATAATTGCAGTATCTGTGGCGGCGATTCTTACGTAACCGGTTTGTGGGTTGTTTTTTTTCAGTCTTACGATAACGGCCTGGCACAAGGAGCTGGACTGGAATCTCATGGTAAGAATGTTGGAATGTTCTAGACCTATTTTAAGGTGTAAGACTGGGATTGGAGATGCTGTAAGAGGTGAAGGATACGTCATGCCTTTCCTTCTTTTCTGATACTAAGGCAGTGGAATAAGGAGGGGCAAATCCAAAACATGCCTCAGAATATCATCTGTCTTCTTCCCCTTAGTTCCAGCTTAATATCAGACCAGACGGGCTATTGATATATCAACTCCATTAATCTCACCTCATCAGTGAGTTGGTGAAAGCTGTTGGCTGTAGTTCTCATCTCTTGCTGACAGAGCAAACTTTTTCCACGTGTACCATTGCTACTCCGAGGATTTATCGACAAGAGGTTTTGTGCAACGCACCTGATAATCTCCAGTTTCAGCAGCTGTTAGTAAAACCTAGAAGCATTTCCTCTGACAGATTACAGCATCCACCGGCGACTCAAAGCTTGAAGCAGCAGTTAATTTTTGTGAACAGTTGGTAGTTGCGAAGATAGGAATTCCGAGGAGACTGGTATTTTTAAGCAAAATGTTCCTGTGCCATGCAGTAGTGGTCTGCCTGTGACAGAGAAACTACGTGACTTGATACTAAATCTATCAAGCTAGCTTTATCCGCATTGAGTTTTCATAGGATTCCTTCTGTTTTCTTCCTGCAGGATAGATAAAGTTGGAAAACTTAATAACCCTCTGTATTTAAAATAATTAGTTACTGTAAAAGGATAGTAATAACAGGTAGCATTACTTCAGCATGCTTCTGCAGCGTTTCAGCGTCAGCATGAGAATAACCCCAGAGTTTCTGGGGGCTCCTAGCACCAGGATGGTGTAAGGAACTTTGGGCCCCAGGTCTTGTATCAGCAGCTTGCTTGCAGCCTTTCACAGGCTGTAATTTTATCTTACCAGGTAATCGTCACAGAATGAGTTCTGGTCCTGCATTTTCCTTGACAACAAAGATTTCCTTAAAGCGTAATGTGTGTTTCTTACAACCATGAGAGTCTGGCAGTCTTTTCATAGTATTAACCATGCCTTTCCACCCCCCTTATATTTGTGTTGGCTTTCTGCTCATCAGACACTTCTGTTTATATCCCCCGAGGGCTTGTGTCCGAGACTGCCTTTGGCATCTCTGCGTCAGTCTGATGGCTGGCATGCCAGTAGCTCTCTTTTTGAAGTTACGTATGAAGAAATGCTTTCTGTTGCATTGCAGTTTGCATATTTCTGGGCTGCTGTGTAATGTAGGTTGTGCAGCACTGGGAGGTAATCCAGATTTAAGAAAATTAATTTAGGTTTATTTGTGCAAGAGTTGGGTTGAGGGTTTTTTTTTCCCCTTTGACACATATGCTGAACTAAAGTGTTTCTATTTATCTGAATTTTAGACTTAAAATCAACACTTCCATGCTTTAAAAATCCATTGATCTAATTGTTACTACCCTAGTTAAAGTTCTGACCGAGATCATACAGGCTCCAGTGAAAACCTGCGTATCTGAACACTGAAGGAAGCCCAACTCTCTCTTCACAGGTGGCTCTACGTTTTGTGGTATTGCATCGCTGTCTTTAATGGGTAAACTGGAAGAGGCTTTTTCAGAAGTAGAACTGAACCGAATAAGAAGGTGGTGTATAATGAGGCAACAGAATGGCTACCATGGACGACCCAACAAACCTGTAGACACTTGCTATTCATTTTGGGTGGGAGCAACATTGAAGGTAGTGTACAGAACAGCTACAGGATAGTTACTGACTTGTTTTGATTTCTTTAAGCATCCTATCTTGTCTTTGCTTGGAAGAGTTACATGTTTAGCACAAGTACATGAACGTGCACAGATCACTATAAAGGTCTTTCATCTTGCAAAAATGCAGGATGTGGAGGTTTACCAAATGAGCGCCGTCTCTGCTTCGCTCATAAATAGGCATTGTATCTTAGTATTGAAAATCTGCTGACATTTAGGATATTACGGTAATGGTCGAATTTCTTTTCAGCTCTTGAACATATTCCAATACACAAACTTTGAGAAAAACCGAAATTACATACTGTCAACCCAAGATCGCCTTGTTGGTGGATTTGCCAAGTGGCCAGACAGCCATCCAGGTAAATTTACTTTCACAATTACGGGTTGTGTGTGTCTTAAGCTGAAATACATTCCAGCAGTCAGACATCTGAGAGGTGTAAAGGAAGTTTTATCCTCAGTCTTCTTCAAAACCGTTTGAAATAAATTCAAAAGCTTCTAGCATGCAACAAAGTTGCTGCAAACTTGTGAGGACAAACCTTGCTGCAATAGTGCTGCCCAGTGGCATTTTGTACAGGGAATGTAAACAGTCTGCAGACTGGCAAATCAGGTAAAAATTTAATCACAGTAAAGGATGCGTCTGCTGAGAATCTGTGCCCTGATGTTTCATCCTTTCATCATTTCATTGTGAACAACAGTTGAGAATTTTTTAAGGTGCTCCCACACTGACATCAAAGTGCTTGTGATGTTATGTGCTCCCCCTGCTCCCCTGAAAACCAGCTTAGGATTCCTGAGGACTTTGCTGAATTTACCCTACGTTACACACATCAGTCAGTATCACTTGGAGGAAATATTTCTGTTTATTTTGATGGACCATTTACCTCGTGAGTGTAGGAATTAAAAAAATCTGTTTAAAACTCCAGTAATGTGCAGAGTTCCTTAACCTGTCTTTTCGCTTAGCTGCAGCTTTTGAGAGAACATTTGAGGAAGGCAAGGCTAATAATAAAGCTATTCTCCTTTGATTTGTGTGGTGTTCCATCCTGAACGCTGCTGTTCCCTCAAAAGCCAGCTTTTGCTGTCTCTGTTGTGTTGTTGTGATGGGTGGGCTCACTGCAGCACTCCATCCGCAGGCAGGTGGTGACCTAAGTCCCTGTTCATGTTTTGAAGGGAAGAGTATAAAGTTAATGTGGTTCTAACGTGGCGAATTCCTGTGAATGCAGCATTGCAAAGGTTGTCTCTGTGGAACCGATTGCATCGTTGTATGTACACGGCGGAGCTTCCTACACGCTCAGTCTGGTGTCTGAAAGGCAGACTGTCTTCTGGTCTCGCTGCATGTCTGCACAGTCAAGATTCGACACTTCGCTAACGTGAAGCATCTGTGCAGCTCGTTCCCAAAAGCCTACTGTTACACACAGTCCTCTCAACTTGGGTGTAAACGCAGGATGTGACGGTGACAGGAGTGGTATGGGTCATCCCAAGGCCAGGCTGGACGAGGCTTGGAGCAACCTGGTCTAGTGGAAGGTGTCCCTGCCCATGGCAGGGGGTTGGAACTAGATGGTCTTTGAGGTCCCTTCCAACTCAAACTGTTCCTTGATCTTGCAAATGACTTAGGTGCAGTCATGACTTGGTTTTGTTGCAAAACTCAGACGTGACACAATATTCCAGGGAAAATTGGCAAAGTAAGAATATGTCATTTCTTTTCAAAGGTGCTTTCTAAGATAGATTCTGCATTTGAACTCCCGTAGCTTCTACTTCGTAAAAGCTCTGTTTAAATTTGGGTAGTCAACCTGTCTTTCACGTGCAATAATGCATTTAGGAAGTGGAGTAGAAGAAAATTGCAGAAAACAGTTAACTGCTTATGATAATCCACGAATTACATGGACTTCCAAAGCTGCGAGTAACTTTTCACCACTGATGATTCAGGGAAATGCCGTTTGCTAGCCCTGATGTTCCCATGCTTACAGACATCAATACATGGTTGGTTCTCGAGGCCAGTAGCATTATTTGACACTTTTTCTTGCTTTAAAATAGTGTTTGGACCAGTGTGCTTCTTGAGCAGTGAGCTTAGAAAACTTTTCTCACCTTTGAAAATAAAGCCAGGAAGTCAGAAGTCTCCTACCTGCTAGTCATCCTCTGACAGCGTGAGCACAACGAAGGGAATCGTCAGGTCGTGACTCTTCCTTTGTTTAAAGCGATCTACAGGTTATCAAATACCTTTTATCTGGAAAATCTTCTGAATGTCATGTGGTAACAGTAGTATTCCTGCGTTGTGAGGCAGGCACAGACACTGCAGGCTTAGTAGGGAGATTCACACTTCAAAACAGAACTGAATGTCGACTGTATTTGTTCTGTTCCTTGTGTACAAGTGACTGGTATGTATTTTCCCCTCCTCCCACCCAAGTCGTTCACGTTAGGCAGGTAGATCTGCTCCCTTCTGTGAATGCTACTTGTTACAAACATTAATCCACGTCAGTGGGGTTTAATGGAGTTAATTTTCTTCCCAGTAGCCCGTATGGTGCTGTGCTTCGGATTCGTGACCGAAACGGTGTTGGTAACGGGCTGATGGTCCAGCCGCGGTGGAGCGGTGCTGGCGCCGCGGCGAGGCCCTTGCTGTTCCTCACGCTGCCCGGGTAGCAGGCAGGCAGGGGGACACAGGAAGCTGGGGTGAGGCACAGCCGGGACAGCCGAAGCCCACTGACCCCCTGCTACACGGCAGTGCACTCAGCAGTGAAAGCTGGGAGAAGAAAGGGGAAGGAGAGGACGTTTGGAGTTAGCGTTTGTAACTGAGTGTTAAGGCAGGGTGTATTTGCACAACTGCCGACTCTGTGGTTAAAGCCAGCAAACTGACGTACACGGGCCATGAGGTCTGTGTGTGGTGGTTAGCGCGTATCCCTGCAGCTGTCCACGGGGTTAATTCCCTGTGTCTGTGGAGATGAGGTCTCCTTGCCTGAGGTACGTGCCGTAGGGGCTGTGCCTGCTGAGCGTGCTTCTGTCTGCGTGTTGGTGCTGCGGAGCAGAAGCCTTCTCTCGGAGTCTTCCTGTTCAGAACCTCCTTCTAGCATCATTTTAGCGGGATGGAAATTTACTGATACCTCCAGAAGGTTTGAGAATTTGTGAGGGGCTGATTATGTTCACATCCTCTTTCCATCTTGAGCTTGTGATTTCATCATGGTCAGATATTCTGCTGCCTGGAGGGGGCAGGCTCACTTCTCTCCCTCCCAGCTTCCCCACGTACAGCTGCACGTCCTTTCTCCTTTCTGCACTAGCTGTGGTGTCTGTCCAGACCACCTTTAATTCACTAAACTGTCAGAAAACTGTCCATTCTCTCCCGCTTGGGTTAGTTTTATTCCGCTTTCGTTCACCTGCTGTATGTCACGGGGGGTGTTCGGCAAGCTGTGGAGTGCTGGTGGGAGGTAGGCGGCAGGAGCAGTGTGGAACAGGGGAAGGGGAGCATCTCTTTGTGGAGACAGTCTGTTACGGCCCATCAGGCCGCGTCACGAGTTCCTGTCCTTCGGGTGTTCTCTCAGGGAGGGGGAAAACCAGGCGAAGTAATGACTTCTTTCGTACTTGTAAGTCGCGCTGTTGGCACTAGTTTTGGTGCTTCAGTAACCAAGTGTTCATCAAGCAGTTAGCAAAAACCAATTCTTTCATGTTTGGGTAGGAGGAAAAAAAAAACAACTTGCTTTGTGAACAGAAGTTATTTCCAGATGCTCAGGTTCGTGTGCTGTTTGGCCTGAGCCGCCAGCAGAAGTGAAGCAGCGGGGAGGAGCTGTGGCAGAACAAATCAGACTCTGGTTTTAGAGGTCGCAGGCTGTCAGTTCACGCGGGTGGCTTTGGGCAGAAATTCATTTATTCTGTCAAAACACAAGTTAAAAACGTAGCCAGCACCTGTTTGTTTTCCTGTAGTTGTTACGGGGTGTTGGAATTTAGGAACGCTTGGCCTGACTGCTTGAAATAACGTTTTTGGGTTTTTTTTGTCCTTTTCCGTCCTTTCAGATGCTTTACACGCCTACTTCGGGATCTGCGGTTTGTCGCTGATCGGAGAATCTGGTATTTGCCAAGTTCATCCCGCCCTGAATATAAGCACAAGAACCTCAGAGCGCCTTCATCACCTTCATCAGATCTGGAAAACAAGGACTCTAAGCAGTGTTGAGACGACACACACCTCTCCACGTGACTGATTTAGACTTGAATTTAGTTCCGGTAGCATAATTGTAGCCCAAGGTTAAAAGCCATGTATAACCAATGTGCTCTTTTAAGTGCTGGAGTCATGCCATCGGATCTCCCATGCGAAGTCTCAGTTAGAGGTCACCTTCTGTCATCGACTTTCCGATTCCATGAACTTTGTTTAAAAAAAAAAAAAATAAATAAAGTAAATGCAAATAAAATTATTTTGTTCAATATACTGGACTTCCAAAGTTGTGTGGCCTTGCGGAATGGATTTCACGGTTCTTCGGAGTCCCCGCCGCACAGATACGGTGGATCGTCCGCCAGACAAAGGGTTTTCAGCGGAAATCCTCCCTTGGTGTGAAATCCAGTGGGAGCGTGACGTGTTGATGTGTGTCAGCCAGAGATGCTGCACACAGTCTGTTGGAAGAGTGGCTTTGGAACCTGCTTCCGAAGTCAAGCCCTGGTCGTGCACTGAAGCTGATGATTTTCCACACGTGTTTCCCTTTTAGTGTGAGTTTCTTAGCCGTTGCATGTAAGGGATTGGACTTTGGGATTTCAAGCAGGTGGCGGTGGCTCACTGCTGGACGGATGAACGTTCTCAGCTTGTTTAGGAGCAGCGCCTTGCTTCCGGTGCTGGGAACGCTGCTCGGAATCAAAGCCGGCAGCGCCGCAGCTGTTGGGGGTGCGGCAGGTCCCGTTCGGCATGTCGGGCGCACGGTAGGCACCCGGATGCCTTTCTACTTGCCGTTAGTTCAGGCACGTTCCTTTTTCTGACAGACCTCCGACCCGGGCAGCTGAAGATCTCTCGATCTGGGTGAAGTGCCCCTTGTGCCGCCGCCCGAAGGGGTGGGATACAGATGGTTTCAGTCGGCAAAAGGAGCTTCAGGAACACCTGCGGTTCTCATTTTGCACTGCAGTGCCAGTGAAAAGGGTAGAGGAGCTGTATCCCTGTCAGAGGGATCCAACGGGCATCGTCAGGCTCCCGGAACCATCCTGGTGACCGATCCTGTGTCAGCCTTCCTGCGTACGGAAATGGGTTCTGTTTCTCTGAGCTGATTAATGACCTTGGCAGCATTCGGAACATCACCAGTGGTCATGGTCTGCTTGGAAAAGCGGGGAAGGAGCACAGGGTAGGGCAGGGAAGTGAGATGTGTGACCTACCTACGTCCCAGTAGACGCTTTCCATGTAGGCGGAGTGGTTGCGTAGCCGGAAGAACTGTAGGAAGCCTGGAGTGGTGGAAGCATGAGGACTGTAGGGCTAATACTGAGAAGGGGGAGTGAGGTATTTGGGTAGGACTGGGGCAGAGTAAGAGCAGACTGGGAAATACGGAGTGTGGGTGCAAGAGAAAAACAGGTAAGGGAATGTGGAGTAAGAGTGGAACCAAAATGGTGGAAAGGATTTGGGCTACCTAAGGGAAGTGCACGTGTTGGGGGCAGGAGCAAGAGGGAGGTACTGACTCGAGCCGAGTGAGGAATACAGAGCTTGGGAATTGCTTTTATTCCCCACATCCTGACATCACCTGAAATTCAGCTGCAAGTCCGTAGAGATCCAGGAAAGAGGGGATCTGCCAGACTGGGTGTCCTGTGGGTGTCCATTTTCCTGGAGGGGCTTAGTGGGATGTGGGTCAGCAAAGGCTGAGGTAGCTTCCCTGACCAGGACGCAAGTCGTGGGGGTCTGCCTAGCTGAGAATCGATTAAAACAAACAAAACCTTGGCGTAAAAATCATTTACGGGATCAAAATCATTCAAAACACCACAGTACTTGCTCATCCCTGACAGTGGATGGTGGCCACCGGTGGACCCACGGCAACTTGTGGGATGTTTTTTTGGAGCGTGAAGTTACTATGAAGAGGAGATGTAGTTGTAGCTCGCTCCCTCCTCGCCCCGGTGGGATGGAGGGGAGTAAATGTAACAAAAGGTTCATGGACTGCGGAGAGGACGGGTTGGGATCGCTTGCCTGTTGTAGTGGTGGGCAAAACAGACTCGACTTGGCAGGAGGAGAATCAATTTGATTAGTTACCAACCAAATCAGAGCAGGGCAATGAGAAATTAACCGAATCTTAAACCCCCTTTCCCCCACCCTTCCCTTCTCCCCAGGCAACTACCTTAACTTTAAATTTCTCTACTTCCTCCCCACCAGTGGTGCAGGGGGACAGGGAATGGGGGCTGTGTTTAGTCCATCACACACTGTCTCTGCCACTCCTTCCTCCTCATGGGAGGATCCTCAGACTCTGGCCCTGCTCCAGTGTGGAGCCCCTCCCATGGGAGACAGTCCTCCACCAACTTCTCCAACGTGAGTCCTTCCCACAGGCTGCAGTTCTTCATGAACTGCTCTGACACGGGTCCCTTCCATGGAGTGCCGTCCTTCCGGAGTCACGGGCTCTTTGAGCACATTCCCTCTGCTCTGCCATGGGGCCCTCCAGGGCTGCAGGGGGGTCTCTGCCCCACCAGGACCCTCCATGGCTGCAGGGCACAGCCTGCCCTCTCACCACGGGCTGCGGGGGAACCTCTGCCCCGGCCACCTCCTCCCGCCTTGCCACACTGACCTGGGTCCCCGCCATGTTGTCTCTCCCACATCCCACTCCTCTCCACACTCCAGGTTCCCTAGCAGCCTTTTCTTCTCCTCACAAATATGTTATCCCAGTGGTGCCACCATCACTGACTGGCTCACAGTGGGTCAAGCCTGGATCCGGGGAGGCTTCCAGCAGCTTCTCACAGGAGCCACCCCCGCAGCCCCACCCCCACTAACAAAACCCACTACGCAGACCCAGTACAGCGGGAAACGGCCTAAATATCGATACTTCTTGGCTTCATGAGGAATGATGTAGTTGATTACCTTGGGGGAAATCCATACTTCTAAAATCCTAAACTATGACGCCTGAGTTTCCCTACCTGTGGCCAGGTTCTCATCTGTGAGGGACATCAGGGTGGAGGAGCAGAAGTAAGTGTGTAACAGTGAAAACTGGGAATTTTAATTTCTCGTGGCGAGTAATTTAACAATGTTCTGCTTCAGAAAGCAGCTAATGTTTTTTACTTTATTTTCTGTGTCTCTGAGCTCCCTCAGGTTGTTTGTGCAGATTTTACATTTCCACATCTCCTTGACCCCAGTTACTCCACAACCTTCCATTTTTTCCCAGCTAAATAACGGCCTTTTTTCAGGCTGAATGTTGACAGCAGAGTTATCCTAAAGGTTGCAAGTGACGTATTTGTTTCCCATTAACTCCCAAAGTTTGTTCTGAAGCCAGCAAAACGTGTAGGCCTTCGCCCCACACAGAGAACCTGATTACTTTAATTGGTTTGAAATCTTTAATCTTTTTTAAGTTGACAAAAATCTGTGCTAATAACCAACTCTTCACGCATGATTTGCCACTCCTAATGCCCTGATTGATGTCAGGCAAACAAGCAGTGAACGCTGAATGTTCCCGTGCAGCAGACATGTTGATCGTGTAGTCAGTGCTGGATTGCATTGCCATTTTTGTGGTGATCGTGTCTTCTGACTAGAAAAATGTTAAATGATAAATTGGTGAACAACAATTTTACACATAAGGAGTCCATAACCTAAAATCTCTCTTAAAACAGAAAAGTCCAAATGCAGGTAAAACTTAAATGTGACTTGGGAAGCTTAACTGTAGCTAGAAAAAGCAAACCATGGGATTTAATCATTTCATGTTAACCACAGCTTTACATCGCTGAAGTTGAACCTAAATCTGAAATTAATAAATCAAATGGCGTTACCATGTGCTGGAAGAATGAAAGGGTATTGGCTACCAGGGCTTGCACTGTGCAGAACGACCACCCTGCCCCAACCTTCTGATGTTCCAGCAATGGTGGTGTACAACAGAGCAGCTCCCTAATCCTACCGGCTTACCAAGAATGTATTTATAAACCTAATGCCTTATGGGAATCCTCCGCATCACTCCGAGCTTGCTGATGTTGGCTCGGGTGGGCAGTGTGTGCCAGCTGGCTGCCTCTATCTGACCTGAAGGGACCACCAACTATGTCTGTGGTTCCACCTCCGCTTCCAGAAACGTAACTTTGAACCGGCCTGTTGAACAAAGGGGGTTAAATGCATCCTCCCAGTAGGGTCTGAGGACTGAGGTTATAAACACGGTCCTTAGGGCTTTTGCAGCAACTTCATTTGTTCGCAGCTGCTGGCGGATACGGTAACAACAGTCTTTTGGAAGACTGTTGCTAAGTAAGATCGTATTTAAGAACTTTTTGTCTTGAGATATTTTTTCCTTAAACAGAACAATCATCATCTGTGTTGTAGTTTAACTCCGGCTACCAAAATATCATGAAGCTGCTCTCAC